TGCTGATATTTAATCCCTCACTGTTCCTGCTGATATTTAATCCCTCACTGTTCCTGCTGATATTTAATCCCTCACTGGTTGTGCTGATATTTAATCCCTCACTGTTCTTGCTGATATTTAATCCCTCACTGTTCCTGCTGATATTTAATCCCTCACTGGTTGTGCTGATATTTAATCCCTCACTGGTTGTGCTGATATTTAATCCCTCACTGTTACAGCTGATATTTAATCCCTCACTGTTCCTGCTGATATTTAATCCCTCACTGGTTCTGTTGATATTTAATCCCTCACTGTTACAGCTGATATTTAATCCCTCACTGGTTGTGCTGATATTTAATCCCTCACTGGTTGTGCTGATATTTAATCCCTCACTGTTCTTGCTGATATTTAATCCTTCACTGGCTTTGTTGGGATTTCTTCAGGTTTTCCTCGTATCGCCCTGCGGATCCTACAGACTCCCATCTTCCTGCTGGTGGTTCTGGCCCAGGTGAACCTGGCGGCGCTGCTGTCCGGTCTCGCCACCTTCATGGCCAAGTTCATTGAGAAGCAGTTCAGTCAGACGGTGCCGTTCTCCAACATGATGATCGGTGAGACTGATGATGTCATCAGAATATTTGGGTCCCTCTGGCAGATTGACCTGCTGTTTAAACCGTTCAGCTGAAGATAATCCGGACCATCTAAAGGTTCAGAACCATTCAATCTCTTTCAGGAGGAGTTGGCATCCCGCTGGCGGTGCTGGGGATTGTGCTGGGCGGAGTCATAATGCGGAGGTTTAATCTGTCGGTTAATAGTGCCAGCAAGCTGTGCACAGCGGCCGTCTTGCTCTGCATGTTCTCCGCACTGCCACTGCTGCTGATTGGCTGTCCCACTCAGAGGGTCGCCAATGTCTTTCCTCCCAGGTGAGCTTCCATCCACCAACAGAGCACCTGCAGAGGCCTAAATAATCTGCTAATCTGAAACAATCCAGTAGTAATGAACTAACTAGGCATTAGTCTCAGCGATGTAGTGAAAACTGGTCTGACCTAAGAAACATTAGAAAACTTTCATTATCGCCACAAACAGAAGTAAGTGTTGTTCTGACAGGGAAGTGTTTCCACCACAGACTCTGACTTTCAGAAGCAGTTCCAGTGAACAGATTTAATGTCTGACAGGAACCAACTCTTCCTGAGGTTTTTCTTCTGTTTAGAAACAGGTTTAAACAGAACATTTTTAACATTTTTCAGAAACTATAGAGAATTTATTTTGTGGTCGATGAGGAGGTTTTTGTTTGAGACACGTTCGGTGATGAAAATAGTTCAGATTATCTGGATAATCCAGTGAAAGTTAATGCTTAACGTTTGGGATGGTGTTATTTTGTGTTTTCAGTTCATCAGAATGTGATCCTGGCTGTCATTGTTCTGTGGAGTCCTTTAACCCGGTCTGTGGTTCTGACGGTGTGGAGTTCCGGTCTCCGTGTCACGCAGGCTGTACGTCTGTGGAAACAGACTCCAACAATAAAATCACAGTAAGATTTACTTCAAACTGAAGGAAACTTTTCTCTTTTCTGCCTTCAAGAAGTTTTTAAATCTCATTTTAAACAGGTTTAAATTTTTACTGTTTGTAATTTCCTCCATGTTGATGAAGTTCCTGGTGTCAGTTTGACTCTGATGTTTCAGGAGAAGAGCAAACACGCAGATGTTCTAACCATCAGAAACATCTGTTTGTTGATAAAACCATGTGTTGTAGTATTTATCAGTGTTGTGATTCGTTTCCCATCCAAGTCATCTCCACTTTGGCACGCTTCTCCTCCTGCATACTTTGTCCTAGAGCTGCCATTGTAATTTATATCTGTAAAGCTCCTGTGCCAAATGATGGCTATGCCTTTTGGTGCCTGTACAACTTATAGTTTTTGAAATATTAATGTTTAATAATTTATAATGGGAGTTAATGGAGCCTTGTATTGGTCCAATACCGCCCCTGCTGTACCTACTCAGTACTGAACCATAGTTTAATAATATTTAAACTCAATAGTTCAGTGTTTACAATACTAATGTTAGTTTTTTATGTTTTACTATAATATTGTCCTAATATTGCTTTATTATAATATATTGCAGTTTGGTGTCAACAATTGCATTGGCGATGTGGCCTCTTTCGGCACACATACAAATATACCCCAGGCAATCCTCTCTGTGACAGCTCCAATGGTCTCATGGTTAACTCTGTGGGCTTTCATGTGGGAGATCAGGGTTCAAAACCCAACTAACGCAACTTTAACAAAAAATCTCTACACACTTCATATTGTCACACAATTACCCTAATTATAAACACCTGCTGACGTGACAGGCACAAGCTGGTATAGAAAACACATTTGAACTTTCTCACAGATCATTCTGCAAGTGCACTGATGCAGGTAAAGSRATGCTACAAGGCAATGCACACTTGTTTTTACATCGTAAAAAACCCATGTCTAGTTCGATTTGTTTTCTGATTTGATCGATTCTACAAGTTCTGTCCTGAGCTTTTATTCTGACAGTCTGTCTCTTCCTGTAGAACTACACCGGGTGTCGTTGCATCAACGGTTCTGGTTGGGCCCGACCCACGTCGTGCGGCAGCAGCTGCTCTCACCTCCTGCCGCRCTTCATGCTTCTGTTGAGTCTGACCAGCTTCATCGCCTCCTTCTCTCACACGCCCTCCTACATGATGATCCTCAGGTAGGAGAACCGGACCGGACCAGGTTCTGACAGAACTTTGCTCTCTGTCGTCACACTGCAAAAACTGTCCATCTTACCAAGTTTTAAAACCTTATATCAGCCAAAAAGTCTTTTTGATCTTGTTTTCAGACTGATTTACTAAACAAGAACTGATTGTGTAAGAATAATCATCTTGTTTTCAGAATGTGTAAGATTATTTGTCTTGTTAGGCTGAAAATTTGACTCAGATTAAGTCAAACATTTCTGCCAGTGGAGTAAGAACATTTTACTTGGTAAGATTCTTGAAATAAGAAAAATTGAGTCAAATCAAGTATTTCAAGAATCTTACCAAGTAAAATGTTCTTACTCCACTGACAGAAATGTTTGAATTAATTTGAGTCAAATTTTCAGACTAACAAGACAAATAATCTTACACATTCTGAAAACAAGATGATTATTCTTACACAATCAGTTCTTGTTTAGTAAATCAGTCTCAAAACAAGATCAAAAAGACTTTTTGGCTGATATAAGGTTTTAAACGTGGTTAGGTGGACAGTTTTTACAGTGCACATCTTTCCTGATAGCAGCAACACGTTCCTGGTAACTTCTGTCCATGGTCCTGAGATGTGTGGACCCTACTTCCTGTTTACTACACACGAGTCTGACGTAACTGATTCGCTTCAAGCCAGTTGATGGAAACACGTCTGATTCACATTTCTTCTTTTTTTACTTTTTGAAAAAATTTAAAAATTTGCTGAGAATTCGTATTAAAATTGGACGGAATCATGGCTTCTGTTTCCAGAATCATTGACTGATCTGACTTCCTGATGAGCAGAACAAGATAAGAACATTAATCAGTGGTGCCATCAGAGCAGCTGTTTGTTATCAGCTGCTGTCCTGATCTGTCCTGATCTGTCCTGATCTGTCCTGATCTGT